ACTAACATACTGGCCCACATCAAAACAATGTTGTGGTATATTTAATGATGCTGTTTATTTGCCCTTTCCTCTCATAAGGCTCAACCACTTGGGAGCGGGTGGTTGTAGATCGGCACAGGCATATATATAAAAGATTGAAAATCTATTATATATGCCTGTACCTATAATTTATATAATAAGGGGAATAAAAAGAAGTCACAAAGATCTAAGCCTGTAAGGTGGGTGAGCTAGGGTTTCAATACCCGAATAATCTTGAGCTTGAGTCTTTCGAGTTCATTCTGAGGGAAGAGTGTGGAGATGCATTTTCGTGGTGCAGCATCATTCCCCGGATCCCGGTCTTTGGTCATCTCTCCTGCACCGCTTTGATAACTTTTGGCAATGCGACTATAGTGTACCATTCTGAGTTAACCAACTTACGATTCTCTAGCATTGATGTTCCAAGATGTCCACTCTGTGAAAAAAACTAGCCACCATTTTTTTGCCAATGTCTGAGTGATGAGCCTTATTGCTTTTCACCGATTGAGACAGGTTACCGAAGCCCAACCCCTCCCCTTTCGACCCCTGTACCTTACAGAAATGTTGTTATCCTACAGAAATATAAGTAATTGTCCTAAATATTATTTATATAAATCACGTGAGTGTGAAATGATAGTCAGAATTTGAATATGTTCCGTTTTTTAACTAACTTTTTGAAGAATGCTATTGCAGCCGGCCGTAAAATGAATCTCCAACAGCGCTTTTTATGAGCTGTTTTTCTTATTAATAAGGCAGCGCCAAGATAATGAACTTATTAACTTATCAGGTTTCTGAGGTAAATATTTACATTAACATTACATAAATGACACAACCTGAGACTATTCAAGGTTTTCGCTCTTGACGACAGTCGCACTTCATGATAATAATTTAAATACTTTATATCTATAGACGTTGAAACTTGACCCCAAATAAATTTGGCACAAGGGTGAAAAAAGATGATGATGATGACGAGACCGTTAAACTTACTCGTATCTTAAAATACCCTTCGTGAGAACTACCTACTACTTTGTATAATTATTAGAGGATTTGATACTTGAATCATGAATTACGGGGTCTCTGGATACCAATCTCATTCCAGTGTCAAAAATTTCGGGACCTAAAACTTATGCATAGTTATTATCGAAAGTAAAACGTGTGGAGACGGATTAAGAATACAGAATGTCACCACCCTATTCTTCACGTGGGTGTCGTATGTACGAGCCGACTAAGAGAGCAAACTATGCAGGACAACAGCACTACAAAGAGAAGGAGATCTAGACACAAATCCTATACCAACCCGTCTGGCCAGCGTGGCATAGTAGGCCAAAACCTCCTTTCTAAACAGATGCCTATGACTATCAGTTAAAGCCTGTTGATGATAATAATCTCTGTTTGTAAATGTTAAGGTCAGTAGACATTGGTACACTACGGATTGGTGTAGAGGAGCGTGTTCACAAATTTACATGCCTCGGGTCGTCAGAATAGACGCGTTAGAAACTGAGGGTTGCTGCGGCTCGATGGCTTATAAGGGTTGAACGTCAAATATGTATTGTTGTATGGGTGTGAAACTAAAAAGATCTCACAGCAGCTTCAGGTCTTCATGGACCGTTGCCTTCGCCGAATTATCGGCAAATACTGGTCCGAGCACATGTCCAACCAAGAATTATGACGAAGTATATAAGTATTATATCAGTCAATCTAGCTTTCATAGTACAAGCTCTGCTTAGTTTTAAAACTAGTATATTATTTAATTATTGGAACACTACCAGGCCACCCCGATTGATTAAACGCCGAAATGGGGCTGGGTTGGCCATACTCTCCGAGTAGACTCCGATCACATCCCTAAGCAGACTCTGGACTGAAACCCCCAGATAAAGCGTAAGCGTGGACGTTCAAGGCCAACTGGACAGCGCACAGTGGCAGATGAGGCGAGGAACATCGGTAAGACGTGGAGAGCGAAATAAAGCACGATGCTCAAAACGGATCGAGATGGAGATTTGCTGTCTCCATCTCGATCGGTTTTGCACCATCACGGCATCATAAGTAGGTGGTTTTCAAGCTAGTTTTTTTGTTCACCCATAACTTGTGACCTAATAGATTTAGATACAGATAAGATTTCTGACATACTATATGACTTTCCTGGGCATGTTAAAAATAGTTGCAATTAACTCCCATGCATCTCTCTTTAATTTTATTTTTGTTATTTAGATTAGACGTCTCTGACAAAAATAGACAATTCTGGTACAACATGACGGACATTAATTTCACAGAGATTCATCTCATTCATCAAAAGCCGTTGGCGACTGTCGACCAGCGATATGTCTCGTGACCCGCAGAATGTCCGGCCGTGGACACGTTGATAGCGGAACAGAACACGTGCATTTTGTATTGGGCGTCAAGATTGCAGGAGTGCAGGACACATTTTGACCCCTAGCAAAGGCGGGGCCTAATATTAAACTATCATAATCTAGAAAATCAGTCTGTTATCTTCACGCCTAACCCGCTGAACCGGTTTAGCTGAAATTTGGCATTGACATAGTTCGAAACCCGGGGAAATAAATACGATACGAAGTTTTTATTCCAGAAATCATCCTTAAAGGATGATCCTTAACGGATGATTTCTGGTTTGTGGAAAGGGAGCGGGGGGTTGTATCCGGAATTAAGAACCACTGAACCGATTTTGATGACATTTGCCATGGAGTCGCATGCGATGCCAAGGCGCAAGTTCGGCCGCATATGGAATACTGTTATCATCTCTACCACCTCAGTACCAGCTTCTTCCTCTGGACCGCATCCAACGAGCGACTTGAATCGTCGATAGCCCAAACATCTCCCATCGGCTCGATCCCTTGGCGTTACGTAGAGATGTGGCCTCACTCTGCATTCTCTATCGTATATATCATGGAGAGTGCTCCAGTACCAGCCGCAAATTTCCGCCATCATTCCACACGGCAAAATGTTCATCCTCTAATGAGGATGAACATTTTGGATAGTTGGCGCTCCACTACTGTGCGCTTTTCGAGACACTTTTTGCCCCGCACAACCAATCTGTGGAACGGGTTATCGTCTGCGGTATTTCCAGACCGATACGACTTCAAACCTTCAAGAAAAGAGCGTACTCCTTCCTAAACGGCCGGCAACGCGTTTGTGACTCCTGAGTTGCGGACGTTCATGAGCGGCGATGGTCACTTTCCATCAGGTGACCCGTCTGCTCAGCCTGTCCCCTCTAACATAAAAAATTATAATTGAAAGAGATACTTTGATTCTTGAGAAAGGACATAGACTCATTTTTACAGCGATATCTGACATACTCGCGAGCGGAGCCGCGGGCAAAAGCTAATGTAAAATTTACTAGTTTTGTGAAGTACCACCACGTAGCACACCGTAATATTTTTTTACATAATTATTTAGCGATTCGATAATACCCGTTTTAAATGATAAACTATGAAACACGTCATAATAACAGCGTTCTAAGTGCTCAGATAATTCAGTTTGGTAACTTCAAATTGGAGAAGTCGTCACAGACAAAACGATATAAACATGTTATTACGCATGTATGATATGTAAAGCATGTATGCATAAAATGGTATTATGTTAATATTACTTTTGACTAGGTAACATTGTGAATATAGCATAAATAATAATTTCTTGACACATCTTATACACGGCGATCTAACTAAATTTACTATTGCACCCAGAGGGCTGATAATTATACCTCTACCTTAATATTTCTAAAACCATAAATATTGCAGGAAAATACAACCATTCACAGAACCAATTATTATTCTTGGTGGGATTCGAATCTGCGACCTCTGGTACTGACAAGTTTTTGACAGAAATTTCATCTTTAATCTTGTAAAAAAAAAGCTGAGATAGCAGTTTTTAAGTACCTAAATGAATTTAAATGTTCATTTCAAAATTTTTTTCCTTCAAAAGACAACTCCCGCACTAGGAATACCTATATCCTGTGTCGCGGCTGACTTTACAAACATACATGAAACGGATTCAAAAAATGTAATGTTACATTATAGAGGCGAACAAAAAAGAGATTCTATCTAGCTGAAGTCCAAAGTTTGGTGTAAGTATTTGATTCCAAGCACCTTCCCTATACCTACTAATGTTCACTAACTATACCTATTATAACACTAATTCAGGTGTTTACATTGTGTTACATTAAATTTTGCGTTTTATTAATATGTGCAGATTTCGTACAGTGTTAAAATTATTGTAGGTACCTAAATGTATATTTAGATAGATAAATGGTTCCTAACCTAGGTAGGTATAAAAGATTCCTCAAAAACCCCGTTCAACTAATGTAATTTTATCTGCTTGTATTTAGTGTGGTTTGTCAAATATAACCATGCATATCATTGCTCTATTATTTATTTTGTGGCATTGTTTTGAATTGCTAAGCAAATGGCGCAATCAGAAACGAACTCGGTTGGCGACTCTTGCACGTCATCAAGTGGAACGCGAGTCGTATTTGTGTGTACACGCCATAGTACACAATACACACGTACACACACAACACAGCTGAGATTAAGAGCCAGTTGACCGTTCAGTTCATTAGTTCGTTCGTATACGTATCCATCCACGTGGAGAAATTAATACAGAAAGAACGAAGCTGTTTCGATCTCGCTTCTGCACGTCTGCAGTTCACGCTAGCTACGGTTACTTACTAACTACGAACGAAGTCATCGGTTTTACTCGGCTATTTTCGCTCCCGCTGTCGTGTTGACGGAACGTGTCGGCTAGCGTTCTCCCTCGCTCGCAGTCTGACTCCAAGCAAATAGATACTTCCAATGCCAGCTAGAAACTAAAGAGCTAGTCGCGTTCAGTGTCAGCCAGTGCAGTGTACGAAGTGTATCGTCGCCGGATGTGCCGATTTAAAACTTATAAAAACCTCCTGTCAAATGACCTTGTACCTCAATCAACTAAGTGACTACACGACGTAATATATTGCGCAAAGATATATAACCTACAAAATGTCAGACAACGCACATGATGTTTTGAAGGATGCGGCAGCAGGTGCTGCAGCAGCAGCTGCTGTAACCAGCGGATCACTATTCAGCACATTTGATATAATTGTGCTTGTGATTTTGTTGGGCGGTACAATCTGGTGGCTGTATAACTCAAAAAAGGACAATAAAAAAGACGAAATCCTGCTCAGTAAATATTCTATCCAGTAAGTACTTAATGTTATTTTTAAAAATTTACACGATAAATTCTTTTTGTAGTAATTAGGGTATACATTAAGTAAGATTATGGGTTATATAATATCACGCTACGACTCCTAGGAGCGGAGCAGTGACCATAAACGCAGGTAAAACTATGGGAACAGGCGGAACAGCTAAAGTCGAATATTATCTATGCACGTATTTGAGTACATACAATTTTAAAGAATTGATCAAACAATTTTATAGAATTGGTTTTGCCAGTTTTTTCGACTGGATTTTAAAACTTTTTCTGTGCACTGGAACGCGTATGCTTTATGTATGATAATCGGATGAACCGTACGGTAGGTAGCGCATAAAATGCCAACAGATATCAACTTTTATATGTAGGGATGTAGGTATTTTAACTTGTGCATTGATTTCGAATACATAATTATTTATGGGGCAGTTTGTCATAACCACCAACAGCAGATAATAGTATGTAACAGACTTGTGATGATTCTAAATATTTAATTGAATTATGTACTATTTTTAAACTAGCTAAAAGTTTGTGAGTTCTGACTGACTGACTAGGAATTTAGAATAATTATTATGAAACTAATGGGATACAATGACGCGAAGTCACTGTAAATTGTACAGTGACTAAAGCCATGTTGGTATAGGATAAGATTGTTGATATAAGCTTTACCTGCGATATTTGTGTGATCAGTCGCTAATTGTTTCCCCTACTACACTATTACTGTATAAGTAGTTGTAACTTTTAAAAGGTTGGATAAGTACGTCTATAATGCACATAGGGCGAAACTATTCCTATTAATGGTAATTATTATTATCTCTTTTCATTTTATTTTCTATTAAGTAGGTACATTTTATTGGCAAACTTCTTGTACACACGCCACTAAATGGGGTGTTTTTATTGACTTATGCCTATCTTACTTTACGAAGACACTAAACATATATAACTATAATAAATCACAGAACATACTGTTTAAATTTAAAAAAAACTTATTTTAGATAACCATAATACACCTACACTTATAGTTGAGATCTGTAGCAAGCTAGAGACACTTCAAATTAAATATTATCTAAGTATTAAGTAATTAGTGTTTGCTTCATTAGCAAAAGTTAAAAATTATTGATCTAGATTCTAGATTTAATTCATCGAATAGTGATCGCAAAAAAAAAATATCGTTATTAAAAACATAATTTTATTTTGCTTGACTTCACGCAGATTACACTTTAAACTAAACCACTTCGGGCCTCACAACCAATGTTTATTTCAAGTTGAAAATTTTTTGTGCAAATAAATGGTTCTTAGTTCTAAAGTGGAGGCTTCTGAAGCTGGACATGAACAAGTTGGCGTCATAATTTTGATTTTGGGTATCTGATTAGGTAGAATAAATCTGTTGCTCAGGATCGACCCTATTAGAAAATACGTATCTGATGCAATATCAGTTTTATCTCGATTGTTGTTGCTGAGCATCAAAATATCTTTAGACCTTGACCCTCAGATTGGGTCTTAGTGTTTTAGAAGTTGAAAATGATGATTTTTTTTTATTACATGCTTTAAAGTACTTGAGAAGTTACAATTACTAACTCAAAACTTGAAATAAAGTATTGATTCCTTTTTTTAAAAAAAACGTACCTAGATAATCGAAGGGTCACTGTTAAAATATCGCCATAAATCATTTTCAGTCCAAATTAGGGCCCGTTTTTTAAAAGACGTCTCAAGTATCGGTTAAATTCTGATCATCTGAAATTAGTTTTAACTTCAGATTATAACTTAAACATCTAGGTATCTTATTAAAGAACGCGTTTTAAGTTTTACTCATTTTAAAGTAATCTCCAGCATTGACTTGAACTTACAGTCTGTTCTCAATTATGTTTCGGTATGATCGATGTCATTATTCCGTATCACGCAGCTAATTATATTTAAAAAAAGCTTTTGCAAACATAATTTCTGGGAATTTGTATATAATATACTATTGACTAGTTTACCAATGTAAACATATTAACTAGCTTTATATTGAAGAAAAATAATAAAATTATTAAAGTATGTTTTTATTTCTAAATTTATATTAATAAAATAATATTATATTTCATTCATAAACCAAATGGTTGTGTTCATTTGAAATTAAATAAGTGATTGAATGTGAATTTCATCTTCATCAACATGTGAATTTAAGTGAGTTGAATATTAATTAAGGTAAATTGAAGTGCATATGACAACATATTCATGTTTGTCAAGTAATTCGTCAACGAATCATCGTAAAACACGTTAATTTCCTCTAAAAATGCCTAGAAATCACTGCTTGAAACTAGTTTCAGTGTGTAAACATATACCACATTTGTCAAAATCTATACGTGAGTGAAGATTTCGATTTAAACATCGATCTAAAAAAAGCTATCATTCACGCGAGTATGGATCGGTGAATAAAATCTCTACTTAAATATATGAGTTTTAAGATCAGATTCACGACTGAAACACTTCTCAAAATATGGGCCTAGGACTAGCATTGTCTAGGTACCTACCTGATATGTTATTGTTTTATATAGGTCACTAGGCCAACATAATATTAAACTTTTTGGGCCTTCACCCCACCGGGGTTTGTGATGGAGTGGTGGGTCGCAAATGTGCCACTCTGTGCCTGAAATAGGAGGGATCCGGGGCTAAATAAATAGAAAAAAAGATTTCTATTAAAAACATTAGTTAATTATATAAGTTAACGATATTCTTATTAACGAGCAATGTACACAATTATTGTTTAGACGTAGAACATTTAGATTAGGAATACGGAGTGTCGTCACCCCTATCGCCATCCCGTGGGTTTCATAAGAGCCGACTAAGGGAGCAAATTGCGCAGGACAACAGCCTGCAAAGAGAACTAAAATGTGAAAGAAACCGTATACCAACGCAGACGCGTTGGTATACGGTTTGACGGTACGGTTGGTAGACGTTGAGCCTGTAGACCACATCCTTCTTTCTGAAGAGAGCCCTATGCCCCTTGCGGGAGAGGAGGGCTGGAGCGTAGTGGTCTCTTCCTGTGAAGATGTAATGGTCTAGAAAGAGACCGTTGAACGGGATCGGGAGAGGACCGATCCCGAGCGAAGGAGACGTCGGCGGCGGTATGAGCCTTACTGTACATCAGAACATTACTGTAAATGCGCACGAGCGCAGACACTAGGTGCTTATATGTAAATGTATATGATACCATGTATATGATAATACATATGATACAATATATTCGAATTCTATTCAGTTTCCAAGGCTTTTAATAATTTGATAGCCTAACATTTAAATTGGTTATTAGAAAGAGCAAAGATATCAATGTCAGAGAAATATTTGTTGTACGTCACTACCAGTCGTCGAAGAGGTATGCGGACACCGGCGTTAGTTCTGCATTATGTTGTGTGAATAAGTTGGCATTACCGCACACCTCGCCGACGGACTGTTCTGGGTATAGTGTAAAAGATTTCATTTGTGATGGCTGAGCAGTGAAATATATTATTGCACAAACCATTAAGCATCATGGCATCAACAAGTAGACGTCTAGATTCTAGGCTTAGAAGATTAAAATCTTTAACAATTCAATATACGAGTAAGATAATCTAGATTGCGTAAATTTGTAGTAGGTTGAGCGTAGCAGGAGAAGCCTCTGGCTTCCCTTGGAATAGGGCCTAGTTAGGTGCGGCTTCGATTTGGATGGACCTGAAATCACCGGACCTGACCTGGGTGCCCCGTAAAGTAGGCTGCCTAAGGCTGGCCATCGGTGTAGTTACTACATACTCCTGGCTAAAGATGCGAAAAAATTAATAAACGATTGCTAATATTATTGCCACAGATGCAGATATCCCAATGACTGATAAGGACACGATAAAAATTAGTAATGCTGAATTTAAAAAAAAAACTTCCACTCTCATCTTAATTTTAGTGATAGACAATAAGCCGAAGCATCGTGTCATCATGCCAACAGCCGGTTTGACCCTGCGCATTTGATGTTTCACATCAAAACTAAAATTATGGTGGGTACAAGTTCCGCGTGGCAACTACGAATATTTTTTTTCTTAGTTTCGGTAGCATCGCAACAATAATAAACCAGGTTAGATAATTTCGACATACGTACCTACACGTTTTTAACAGATATAACAATTGGTCGTTGTGACCTGTGTGTGTACGTGTGTTATTGAAGAGGTAGTAGCCCCTGCGATGTAATTTAACTCATTAGAATTCCGAATAGATCGGCGAATTAGTTGGGTCAGGGTCTAAGTTCGGTATTCAGTTGGGTTTCACACAAAATCAATATATTGTATTTACTACAACTTCATAAAATTTTCTAACAATTAAACTCACTTTTATATAAAAAATTTTACACGGGGTTTAGTATGTTGTTTTAATAGATATATAAATATATAGATAGATAAATAAGCAATCATGCGTCGCGTTCAATTAATTGTAATCGTTGAAATTCTGAAAGTGATCGATGGAGCTTCTGTTAATCTCAGTATCTATTGGTCAATTCTGCATGTATGTGGTAGGTACATGTTATTGGTATTTTGTCATTTTGTATAATAATTTGCGTTTAGTAGCAATAGTTAACCTTTTTCCCTTTTTCCCTTCGGATCCATTGGGGATCGCTCCTCCTTGGGGATGTAGGAGCCAGGAGTATGTGGTGTTTCCACTAAAAAACATCCCGACGGCCGGACTTAGGCGTCCTACTCTGAGGAGGACCCGGACCATTAAATTTCTCTCTTCACTAAATTTCCATTATCTCGGGGAAACCGCGGGCCTCTAACGCCTATCGGCCCAATCCTTATAATATGTTACGGCTCGATCGCATTTTTGGGACTAGGCCGCCATCCTATCGCCTACCGCAGCAGATAACCTGCCACCAGAGGTCCCCTCTCTGTCAGCCTGCGGCCCGTCGACGGCTGGTATCCTCTGCGCTCGGGATCGGCCCTCTCCCGATCCCGTTCAGCGGTGTCTTTCTGGAGCATTACAGCTTTACAGACA